CCTCCTTAGGATTTAGCTAGAGTAGCACACGAAACGATTCTTTTACAGTCGTTCGGGTGTCGTAACGGAATTGAACGAAAATTATTAATACCGTAGCGCATCAAAGCTAATATTCGACAACAACTGCATCTTTCAAGTTTTTCTTATTCAACCTGCGGCACTCACAACTTGGTAAAGACAACCTGTTGGCATGTTGATCGATCAGTTCGTGACATTTTATTATAATTTCGCCAAGTGGAAATGTAAAGTGTGTACGTCAAGCATTTCGTTTCACGCCGCCGGATTCCTGCTAGGAAAAGGAGCCAGTTAATGGTGTGCCGACCGTCTTCGAGTTTGACACATGATGCAATCCAAGTTAACTCTTTTATAGTGGTTAACATACAACAATATTGAGGATGAAGTTGATGGAGTAGTCTTAAAAAAAATAACAACCTCCTAATTCCAGCAACATTAACCTTTTCAGTCTTTGTATATGATCATTTTCTTTTTCGTTGAGTAGCAACCGCAAGTCACGTTTCCATTCTCTACAGTACGAAAGGACGAATTGTGATAACAGCATACACGTGCTTTACACATCATTTTCTTTCACGAGAACTTTTGATAAAATCAACTTAAAAAAACTCCACATAATCAGTATGCCATATAATTAAATCTTGCCAAAGACCTCAAATTAACGAATGGATATTAAATGAATCCACTTGATAGTTTTCAATCAGTTTTTTGATCGAAAGAGTCAAAGATAAGCCCAAGGATAAAGATCTTTAATGATGCAAACATGATCGATAGCCAAGAACAGAAATTTCCTTTTTAGTTTTTACCCGATGACTCTCGTTTGCTCGCATTTCCGCCCAATAATTAGAATATGGAGACTTCTCTTTCGCTAGAGTGAAAAAAAAAATGTTGTACTAGTTTTCCTTCTTACAAGATCGCAGGGGAAAAGCTGAACAAACCAAGCTTGCATAAGGTTTTGCACTGAACTCAAGATTGGAGGAAAATTGAACAACATGACAATCACTTGAAAGTGTGATTGACGTAAGGAAATCCTTACCCATCCCTTTCCCCTACCAATTCTGTTCTTCGAAGTACAACGGGAGCTTCAACCTAAACCAAGCCTCTAAGCTGGGCATAAGACAGAAAGAATCCAAATTAATTTTAGGTGTTGAAACTAACACCGAAGCTTAATAAGATGATGACGTGCACTTCTAAAGTAGACACAGCAAATCATGGCGCTAGCCCCAACATTTTGGCTATAAGATGTTATCGCAAAATCTTAATCACTACTTGTGCCATCTCTCAGTATCCTCACCTGTATTATGGCAGGTGCACATTTATGGTCAAAGTTATCATATTCTCAAATGGTGAATTAAACGTAACGATTAACAAAAACAATCGAATAAAAAAATATATCGAGCGGATTTCATTTAAAAACAGAATCAGCGAAAGCTAGAAAGAGGGTCTTAATTGGGTTAACCGTTAATGTTAGCCATAAAACAGCCAAAAAATAAGCCGCTAGGCGTAAAATTTACAAATTTTGACCGTAAGCCGTAAAAAAAAGTTAAACGTAAAAAATAAATTTCTGGTGACAACAATGAAAAGCTATTAACCGTTAGCCGTAAATTGGCCAAAGTTTTAAACGTTAGCTGTAAAAGCTACATCACCCCATTGAGATGCTATAAAAAATTGACGCGATTTGAACTCTCTGAAGACTATCACCTTTCCGTCGATTTTTTTTTCATACTCTTGATGATGGTCCACTAAGCAGGAAGAGCCAGGCTACTTGGAGCTACTTTGAACTTATCTAAAGGTATAAACGCGTCTGCTCGAGTTGTACATTGTCAAGAATAGCTCATCAAATATCATCGCAGTATGACGTTAAATCGTTAATACCAAAGCTATGTGTTCGAGAAAAAAAAAAACCACTTCAAAGATACGATCTAACTGACGGGGTACCTAGGTGTAAAAGTAAAGAGGAATTGCGAAGACCTTTGTTTCTGATATTTATTTTACATGACAAATTTTATCAAGAGCTTCCTCTAAGTTAGCAGAAAGTGCAAGGCAGTGATTTCATGTTCATCTGTTATTGAAATCATGTGAATAATACGTCGGACAGTTTGTTGCGCATTGTTTTTGTTTTGCTCAATTTTAAAAATCTATTTGAATTCAGCCTCAAATACTGTCGATGATTTAATTAGATTTAGTAAGACCTCGGGCTCATAATCGCCTCGCGCTTGGTTAATAAGAAGTTACTCATTATCGATGATAATAATAATTAGCAAGTAGAAATCCATGTCAATCAATTAAGGCAGCCAAGCATGCGTGGGCGCTCTTGCCGATAAAGAAACTAAATTTAGTTCGCATGGCAATTTTATTTTCAAAGTGATATCCTTATCTTAGCTATCCATAGCTACCGATTATATTTCTGAAATCTTTGTCTAAATCTGGCTTTGTTCTCCTTGTAGCAACTTTTCCTCATGGCTTGTACAACACCTCAAACTTCATCCACCAAGGAATCAACCAACTATGCGCGCTTGTGTCGTTTACTGGTGGATATTGGAAACCAGGCCCTCCGAGATCAATTCAATGTTATCCATCACCCAGGAAAGCTTCACAAAGTTTTGGCGAAAAACAAATCACTGCTGGAGGATCTGAAAAAGAAAAAATTTTTATATCTAGCTCAATGGGATAAGCTGTTTCCTTCTGACCCTAAATCAGTATCGTCAGAAACTTTTGATATTTCACTTTTAGCTGTTCTATTTCGAAATATCTGCGGCTTAACTCAACCCTCGAATGGATGGGACAACCTTCCTCCCGAATCAGACACAAGCCCTGCAGCAGATATAGCTCGGGTGAAATATTACAGAAACACCGTGTACGCTCATGCTGAGCGTACTTCTGTTGATGAAGCGGACTTCAACCAGTACTGGTCTGACATCCGGGACGCTCTTGTGAGACTGGGTGGACCGAAATACAAAGCAGAAATTGACAATCTTGAAACTAAGTGCATGGTCCCTGAAGTTGAAGATCATTACAAAAAACTTTTCACCCAGTGGAAGAAGGATGAAGAAAGCGTGAAGGATCAACTGAATGAGCTTGGAATCGAATTAAAGAATGTCGCCAAACAGCTGGATGTTTTGTCTAAGATGGAAAGCTAGTACAATTTGAGTTCTAATTTATTCCTCGTAATCCGTCGCAATGTACAATGACGTAAAAGACCGACAGCGAAAAAATGTCACTAGACAAACATTAACACTATTTACTCATCATATCTTCATTCAAGTAAGCTTTAATGGTACATATCGTTACTAGATTTGGGTAAATGCACTCTCTTTCTCCCAGTAGGGAACGCCAGAAAGCCCCCAAATTGTTAGCCTACTCTTAAAGAAAGAGATGTCGCAAGTTGCGTTGGTTGATTTCCGTCAGATCTTAAGCATTTATACTTTTGTAACATTGTAAATCTTATCAATTTATGACAAGACTTTTTTTTAAATTCTTCGTCAATTTCGTTAAGCCGAATTGGTTTAAAATTTGCTTGAAGAATTTGCCTCGATTCTGTTTATCTTAAGCACACGCGGAAAAAGAAACTCGCAGTTTTGTAACATTTCAAAACAATTGTTACAATATTAATACAATACAAATTTTATTGTCAACTCCCCATGGGGCTTTTCAGAGACAAATATTAATAATACAGATAATAAAAAAATACTTAAAAATTGACAATAAACAATTATTGAGAAACTATTTGGATATAAAATTTATGACATTAAAATTTGATTTAATATAATTAAAAAATACTCAAATATTAATAATAAACTATTAAGAAACTATTTGCATATAAAATTCATGACATTAAAAATTGATTTGAAAGGACGGCTTCCATTTTACGTTTGAAAATGATAAGAGATTCACTTAATTTAAAATGGGGTTTTAAGGTATTCCGCAATGTTACAGTTCTGTAATAAAAAGATCTCTGTCCCAACTTGGTTTTAAGACCGACCGCTGATATTCCCTCTGGAGATAAATTTTGAACTGAGGTAGTTTGGTACTTGACCTGTCATAGATTTAAAGGCCAAGATGGCGTCTCTTAGATACAGGTGGGACTTGGCTGGTATCAATCTCAGGTTTTTCAGGGCCGGAGATACGTGATCAAACTTCCTTGTCCCGGAAAATATGCGAGCAGCGAAATTCTGTACTCCTCGTAGTTCAGTGCGTATATTGCTGGCAGAAGTATTTGACCAGAAGGATGAGCAGTAATACAACTAAACACGAGAGAATTAATTATTGTAACAAGTATGTCTTTTCTAAATATATGTTTAACTCGGCTAATTTGCCCTAAGGCAGACATACAAGATGATACTGTCTTAACTGTGTGGTCGTTGAATGAGAGTTTACTATCAAACACTACACCCAGGTTCTTAACAGAGTCCGGCGACCGGTAACAGTTCTTTGCCCAGGGGGATGAGACGAAATTTCTAAGTTTCGATATCATTTGCCAGCTTCCATATACTATCAGTTTTGTCTTGTCCGGGTTCAGAGTAGCCCAATATCAAAACACCAGTTACGCAGTTTAATAAGATCATCGGTTCACAGTCCTGCACTTGGAATGACATAAGTAGTTTAGTGTCATCAACGTAGCAGTCCGTGGAACAGTGTTGTGGGATTGATGGTAAGTCATTGCTGTAAGCCGTAGAGAGCAACGGTTCAAGGATGCTTCCTTTGGGAACACCGCACCTCATTAGCAGGGGTTTCGGAAAGAGCAGTATTTATGCGCACAACTTGGTACCTGTTTGACAAGTAGCTCTTGAACCACTGAATGGCAGAGGGTGACAAGCCAATAGCTTGTGATTTTTTAACCAGAAAGTCATGGTTGACACTGTTGAATGCTTTGCTCATATCAAGGAGAACTACAGCTGATGTTTTCTTTTGGTCAATTGCGGTGAGAATGCGATCAGAAGTGTAGATCAGTGAAGGTTCAGAATGCTCCCTTTGCTCGTTCCATAAAATGCCGCTGTACATGCACTGCAGGCGCAAATGTAAACCTGAAATCGAGGCTATCCCTGTATAACACTTGAAAAAAAAACAGCGCGAAAGTTTCGTTTTAAATTTGTTGTTGGCTCTATAAGCACTATGAACGAACCAAAGCTCCACAGAAAACATAGAAGTCGAGGGAAGCAGTGTTCAGTTGTAGCTTGTAATAATTTTGAATATCTAAGCGACGGAACACCATCGAAAATTCACTTCTTTAAGTTTCCAACCAAGCCATCGCTTCGAAATCGATGGTGCAATTTAATCAAGCGGCAGCACGGCAGAGACGGCTTTTACGTGAAACCTTCAACGGTCGTATGCGGCCATCATTTTAAGGAAAATGACCTATGCAAACCTCCGGGAAGAACGCGGTACAGGCTACGACCAGGTATGTTTTTGTATGCCCGTAAGTGTGCCCGTAAAATGTGAGCTTTTAGTGAGCTCTTGAGTTTTATGTAAGCTATATAAGTTATAACTTAAGTTGAGCAAATTGCAATGCTTCTTTTCGTACGATTCACTTAGCTTTGAAGATTTTGAATATTTCTTTATTAATATAAGACTATCGAAGTATCAAGTTGAACTCAAGATTACTTTAAACTTTGGTGTTTATATTTTTCAGGAGCAGAGCCATCCATATTCCATAGTCGTAGAGTTGTACGAGGTTGAACGACGGTATATTTCGCAAGTCCTTGCTCCACTCACATCCCCGAGAGGCTTGATCTCTAGACAAAACTTCGTACGTTATTTCGTGGTCACTTTTGGTGTTCGAAATCAACGATATCAATGGCTGTTCTTGTTTTGAAACGTTG